CTTTATTTTCAGATGGTATATATTGTTGTGCGCGACCCTACTATTCAGAATTATAAAATTCAGAGTATAACCTTTCTTGACGCCCCTAAAAAAACAGAATTGTTGATATGCATGTTTAGATTTCTATAGAGATGGTTTGCAAAATTAATATATCTTTAATTTATATTCGAGTTAGGTGCTGAAAAGAGAACAAGGTAACATTTTTTCAAGCCAATTTTTTTGAGCACCTATAAACAAATTCTATTGAATTTTATAATATAAAAATCAATTTCTGCAAAACCTAATCTTTTTTTGTTAATTTTGACTCTTTCTCAGCACCTAACCCATATATATCTCACCCGATTTCAATTATGATTATGTGATTATATATTAATAGATTATACAATATATATACTTTATTGTATAAGTAATCCGAGTTCGACTTTGGTAAAAAAATCAAATGACAGTATTTATTAGTTGGCTATAGCCACAATCGAAATCAGGAGATATATTAATCTTGCAGCATAGTTACATTATATTAAAAGCTGGTTATAGTTATTTAAGAATTTTACTTTCCTCAACTGATATGTAAACTTCTTGATAATCAAAAATATAGTTTTCTGCGATTTCTTGATTTCAAAAAATTTCTTTAATTGCTGAAATAATTGGCCGATATTCAAATAAATATACCTGACCTTCTATTTTCGCGACGGGAGTTAAAAAAATCTAGTATAATTTTTTCTCAATGCATCCAAGGAAATAAGACCGTCTTTTGTTGATCGAGGTAGAGTTTTTTTTGAAATTTGATCGTATCTTTTCAAGAATTTTAATATAGCATCGCCGGCCTTGTAAGTAAGTTTATATTTGAGTACCTAATATTAAAAGAAGAAACCAAAATTTTGACCATAAAGATAATTAGTATCTGACAACGATCCCTTGTCCGTTGACACTGGGAAACACAATTTGACTAAATTAGCAAGTAAAATAATTACTATATTTATGAATTCTTGATATGCGGTGCTTGAAAAACCTGAACTATCCATTTCATTATCATCGCTATGCTCACTTTCATCACTCTGCAATTTATCAACTTCATTCATGATCATGTCGCAAGTAATATTTTGGTCTGAAATCTCTTGACAATCGAATTGGTTAAATTCATTAATGATTTCCTGGTCATTAAATACTAGATTCGATCCACCAGCGATGCTTTGGGTATCAAATGTTGAGTTAGACTCATTATCGCTTTCTTGATCATCAAATATCAAGTTATCAACTTGTCTGCTTATAACATCTAATTCGTCAAAACCATAAGAATCAGTACTAGTGTCGATCTCATCATCAATATAATGATAGTCATTTTGTCTGCTTTTAATATCCAATTTGTCAAAACTATAAGTATCCATGCTGGTATCAGTTTCGCCTTCTATATGATAATAATTTTGTCTGATTATATTATCAAATTCATCAGAATTATAACTATCCATACTAATATTGGTATCATCTTCAACTTGGTAGCGATTTTTATGGACCTTTTTGTGATTTTTAAGGCTCGTTAGTTGGCTAAATTTTTTACTGCACACACCACAAATAAACATGCTATAAAATAAATAAAAATTAAATAAAAAAATAAAAAAAGGTAAATAAATAAAATAAATAAAAAAAATGAAAAAATGAAAAATAAAAATAAAAAATAAATTAAATCAAAAAATACAAACACTTTTGCTTTTATATCCTAGTTGAATAGAAGCTTACTGCAATACAAATAGAAGTCTTGAAACTGTGTACTATCAGTAAAATTCTCTTTATCTTCTAGCTTTTTTGTTTTATTACAAAGCAAGTACTAGAGTAAGTACTAAAATTTTTTTCCTATATATAGTGTATTTTAACTTTAATTATATAATCGACCCATGCATCGTACCTCTTAATTTAATATCTGAAATCATGATCGTAATTAGGATCAAATATTCTAGATTAGTGTATGATAGGAAATAATGATGCTTTATGAAATCATAATAATCGGTCGAATGTTCTGATATGTTACATGAATTAGTTTCAGAGTTATTCCATATAAATACTTTTTTTGTTACTTTTCTTTACTATTCTTTACTACTTTTTACTATTCTTTGCTACTTTTTACTATTCTTTGCTACTTTTAACTATCATTGTATCTTTACCTTTTATAAAGCGTTACTAGTTTCAAGTTGTCAATTTAATATAAATTCTTTTATTCTTTGCTACTTTTACTATCTTTGTATCTTTACTTTTATATAGCCGTTATAGTTTCAGGTTGTTATCAAATATAAGAGAATTCAGATTTTAAATAAGTCTATAGCATGCCATGTTTGAATACGTTATGCTTGCTATATTTGGATACGTTACTAAAAAGGTTTTTTATTTCATTTTAAAATAACAAATTTCAACTTGAAAGTCTTGTAATTTTTTTTAAAAATAAAAAAGAAGCTGCACACACAAATTTATCATTAATTTCTACATTATTACTTCTTGAAGATACTAATTGACGAATACAAAGTAACTAAAGCCATCCAATCAAATATTTTTTATGAAATATAATCTTAAATAGGTAACACAATGACAAGTAATATCTTAAACAGGTAACACAATTAATGACAAGTAATTTTCCTTGATACTATATCTTAAATAAGTAACACAGTCAACAAGTATTTTTCTTGATTTTAATTTATAATTTGTACATTGTTTTATATATTGTGTAATCTGGTATGTATATACACTCTTTGTTATTTGATATGTAATTAATATTTAAATCATTATTAAAATTCAAAGCACTGATTATTATAATTTTTTAGATCTTAAATATTTTAAAGACGCTTCTTTTAATATAATATGGATCGAAAACGGAAAATTGAATCGCAATAAAATGAAGTTGATTCAGTAATTATTAAAGCTTGAATTTTTTAATTGTTAACAAATTTTCTAAGGCTTACTACTTTTGTTTCAGGTACTAGATGCTCTATGATCTGATCCATCTACCCTATTGTAAAAAAGCCACGAAGTGCAAATAAACCTACTACTTAACTCCATAATGTTGATGTCAACAATATCGATGACAATATTCAAAACTCTCCTTACGAAATTACCGAAAGTCCACACCGATCCCCCCTCAATGAATCTTTTACTAATAGGTTAGAAAACTTGTCAGTTGTTGCAGAAAACGGTCAGTCTTGGAAATATAATAATGATTTATGTGATTTTAAATTGCAAGTACTAACTTTGAACTGAAATAGCTTCGAATGAAGAAAATAAAATGATGAAATCAATATTAGAAACAACTAAACAAGTGTTGATGCAAAATATTTCAATTATAGAAAAACAAATAGCTCTTGAGGGTATGATTACTCAATTAGCCCGTGATATCAAAACATTACAAACTTTACACGAAAATTTCAAGTCAAATATGCGAGATCGTGGTCATGAATGGTGGCAGGTATATTCCAATTATACTGATAATGCTATTATATAGGATCGATTTTCTGTTCATGTAGTTGGTTTCATATAAGTTTGTTATATTATACTCAATATCTCTAACACCAATCTGAACTCCATCAAAAGTTTTATGTTCAATTACATGAAGAGAAGAACAATCCTACGTTATTAATATCAGTTTTCGTTAATTCCAGCATTGCCAATAATGAGGGCACAATCACATGGCTTTCCTATTAATCTTTGTATTAATATAATTAACGTTTTATTATATAACCAGCCTTCTATTATTGGCGATACTAGACTTTTCCAATTTCCAACTTCATTTAAATCAAAATTTGTTTATTGAGTGGGTTATAAGTTTGTTAATAAGATTTTTACTAATAATTGGTCAGATTTTTATTAATACCAGCTTGATTGACCATAATTCTGATAAACGGCATCTGAAAAAATTTTTTTTATTAACTTAGAAAGGAGCGACGCAAGGTATCAAAAATGCCATAGATAATTGGCTTTATCCCAACAATAAAATCTATGAGCAGGCTATTTGAAAAGAACTTGAAACTCTTTGTCCTGACAAAATGGTCTGGTATAGGAGTAATTCCAAATGGGAGGCGTTGTTTACTAAGATCGAAAATTCAGTAATTGATTTATTATATTTATAATTATAATTTTTTTTTCTTTTATACCATATGGCATACGAGTATAATTTTTTAATAACCCTAATCTAAATTTAATTATAGATTAGCACTGAATCCTGCAAATACTGTGGTGCTTTATTTGGATCCTTTCGACGTGCTATATTTGATCACATTTTTAAAAAAAAATTTCGCTGGCTGTTAATTCAGAAAGTTCAGAATCTGAAATAACTGCTTGGAAAGAGAGCGAAGAAGTTCAATGGTGTTTGAAAAACTTGGATAATATGATTGAAGAAGAAGACAAGATGTATCTTCAGATAGTTGCAAAAAAAGTATTTGGTCGACAACCTTCCCTAAACCAATATGCAGTAACACAGGCTATTTTACATAATTTATTCGATCCCGAACTTGTCAAAATTAAATTTGATGAAAAATATTTAACACGTAAATTGAATATTTTCTTGGTAAGTATATATTTAATATTGGAGTTCTGCGAGTATTGGCACAATATATTATAGCGTTAGGCATTGTTTATAGTTTAACGGTGCTATACTTGGTATTTGTGCTATTGATAATATTACTGATATATA